ACAGAATTCGGAGAAAAAAAAAACTATAATTCTGAGAAATTAGTCATTCTGAGAAAAAAAATGGAATTCTGAAAAATTTGTAAGAGTTTTAAGATTGAAGTCAGAATTTTTAGAAATTAAAATTCAGAGAAAAAAAAAACTTTCAAGAAATTAGTCAGCATTTTGAGATTAAAGTCAGAATTCTAAAAAAAAAAAAAAAAAAACTAGAATTCTTAGAAATTTGTCAGAATTCCGAGATTAAAGTCAGAATTCTGAGAACAAAATATAATTCTGAGAATTTAGACAGAATTCTGAGATTAAAGTCAGAATTCTGCGAGAAAAAAATAGAATTCTAAGAAATTATTAAGAATTCTGAGAAATTAGTCATTCTGCGGAAAAAAATGGAATTCTGAGAAATTAGAGTTTTGAGATTAAAGTCAGAATTCAAGTGAAAAAGTCAGAATTCTGATTTTTTTTTTCTCCAACTCAAATAAAATAAAAAATCTGTTAACTTTTTTAATTCTTTCCGGTGGCCCTAATTCTCTTCCATAGTTAACTATATTCCCTGTTCATTAATGAGCTGATCTCAAGTTGCCTTGACACATACATTGGTTTGGGATAAACATGTGTAGCTTCATATATTCCATATTTACTGGTAGAGAGGAGTTTATGGCAGCTTCTTATTAAACCAACAGTAATGATGAACACATTAAAGCAGATCTATCAGAAAAAGATCTGAAGATATTTTATTAGATGCAAACATTCTTTATTGTCAGTAAATCTTCCCGCTAGCTCTCAGGCAGGCAGATCAACCAAGCTGTGTTTTCACTCAGGCTCCTGATGACCAGATAAAAACTGGCCCAGTTTGCTTCACATGGAAAATGGTTCCCAGTGTAACATTTTCTGGTTTCCCATTAAAGGAATCCACCGGTTCAGATTTAGGTCAGATCTCAGGAGCTGCAGGCAGCTAATCGCTGAAACCTGAAGCCTAAAAGCATTTTGACTTGAGAGCATTTCAGCTTTTCTTTGTTTTACAACATCCTCTTTTTTTATTGCACTCAGACTTCAAACCTTCCTGCATCTCAAGGTCATTTTTGCTGTTGAAGGTTTTTGGTTTCTGACAGCGATCAAAGACCCGTCGGGTCTGGACTTGGAACAGACGGAACACGGCGCCCCAGGTGGATAGACGCCCTACTTCCCCGTCATGTTTGCAGGTTTCTCCCTCTGAGGTTATCTGTGCTTGTCGGGCGGCTAATGGGAGGCGTTTAATGTCCTCGGTGTGAGAGGACTGGATTAGCTTCCTCCTGCTGTGCAGGATGATCTGACACATATGGGAGGCCTGTCTGCACACAAACACACATCAGCCGTTCTTTCTCCTTGGTTTCACTTCATAAAAAACGCTTTAATGAGGCTTTAAAAGCAGCTCTGAGTCTGTATCAGTGGAAAGGTGCTTCATAAGGTTCACCAGGTCTACAGATTACTGAAATATTGTTCAACTTCCTTATAAAACAGATTTTTCTTTAAATCTCTAAATGACTCCATAAAACAATATTATTATGTTGGTGCGTGGTCAGTAGGGGGCACTATAACATATTGATCTCTATATGTAACATAGAAGTAAAACTAACAGCTATTACAAAGACCAAACCACGCAGAATAAATCTGGATCAATTGGAACAGAAGCGTACTGATGAACTCTGAGAATTATCAGAATTCTAAATTTTAATCTCATAATTCTGACTTTATCTCAAAATTCTGACTTTAATCTCAGAATTTAGACTTTTTTCCCATATTATACTGAAATAAATTGTAAAAATCAGTTAACCTTTTTCATTTTTTTCATGCTCTTCCATAGTTTTTATATAAATTTTCTTTAGTTTTATCAAAGTACTGTATAGTTTTTAGACTGTTCTATATTAAGCACACTAGAAATCTAGAAATAAGTAAAAATGTCTTAAATTAAGTGTATTTACCTTTAATTTGAGAATTTAAATGAGATGATTTTCCAATGGAATGAGTATTTTTACTCTTAAAATAAGATAATTTGATAAAATGCACTTGAAATAAGACAATTAAATTGTGTTTTTTTTTATTTTAAATCTAAATCATCTTGTTCCATTGGCAAAATGTATCTTTTACCTCCTCAATCCAAGAACAAATGCACTTATTTTAATAAATTACTAATCTAGGGTTTGATTTTTTTCCAGTTTATGTTGGTGAATTTTTTGCAGGCGATGTTTCTGCAGCTAAATGTTCAACAGATACATTTTATTTCAGGTGGGCCATGCATCAATTTAAGGGTGCTTCTGCACCCCCAGAAATGCTCTAAAAGCTTATGGCTGTAAGAATGGTTAAAGGTTGGACTCTGCTCTCCATTTGTTCAGCCAAAGCAGTTTTCTGCTGATTCAGGCCGTCTGGCAGCTACACTGAGTTCACTTTAAGCCTGATTACTAAAAGCTGCTATAAATTGTTTTGTTGCAGCAGGTGTCAGGTTGTCCAACCCTTTTTACTTCCATTTTGTCACAGTTAAAACTCAAACTCCTCCATGGATTCAGCTAATAAAGCTAAATCTGGAAGTCAATACTTTCTAAAACCAGTTTTATTTGACTTCCACCTGTTGGTTTGTTGGGTTTTGTCTCTATAGATGCTAAACGTCCATTTTAGCTTTTCTTTCCAATCAATGCTGAAGCAAAGCCTCCCAAAAACTTTGTGTTTCATGATGAGTTTAGGATGCTGTGTAATATTAAGCATTTTTTTACAAAAATGTAGTTTTGCATGTTATCCAGAAAGTTAAACTGTGGTTTCTTCTGAGCAGATGATCCATTGCAGGGTTTGTGTGAAACGAACTGACAGATTCATGGACAGAATGCCAAATAAAGAACTGGTTTCTAGACTGTATCTCACCCGAATCATAGATCTATGTAGCCTCTCCACAGGCATGAACTTCTTGGCTGTTTCAGTCTTGGTGGTCGTCCGCGTCCAGAGGCGTCAAGTAACAAAGTACAAATACTTCCTAATACTTAAAGTCGTAGGCGAATCGTATTTAAATGTCAAATCATTCTGGCTTAAACATGTATATGTTTTTTTTCGTAATCTTCTGCAGGCCAGTTAGTTCTACGTCAGCCCGAACACCTAAATTCGGCCAATCATATATCAACGGTCATCTGTCAATCAAATGTTTTCGGTCATAGCATCTTGATTCATGTGTCGCAGCTAATATACGAAACCAGAATCCTTTCCTTTCCCATTGAGTTGCGTCCCAGTGTTCACGGGGATGGACGTCTGTGTCTTCGGCAGGCGTAGAGCTAACAGAACTGGCAGCGTTGCGAGGCAAGGGCTCAATCATGTACGGCTGGAAGCCTTCTACACCAAACCAAGCTTCTGCCGCCCTGGCGTCCTCTTCCACAACATCTTCGTCCCCGCTTTCCTCCTCTAAATAAAAAATGGATGACGGAGGAGACTCATCCACGACCTCCGACACTAAACTCTCCTCCTCTTGCATGTTTCCTCTGTCCATAGCGTTCCTTGACAGCGTCGTTTCTAAGTCACCAATTTAGTGCTACTTGGTCCCAATGGAATTTTCATGAGACGGTGTTTGTATGGAGGACCAGTTGGCAGAGGTAAATTAAAGTCGGTTTATTGAAGTTCTCAGATCCAAGAGCAGGAATCAAAGTCCAACAGAAAACTACTAACGCACCTGAACCAAGGAGACATCAGGGGAAAACCAAAACTAGAAGCCAGGGAGAGACGAGGAACACAGACAGAAGTTAGACGAGATGTTAGACGAGGATCCAGCAAACAGGAAGTGAAGAGGGAGGGCTTTTAAAGGGGACAGAGACAAAGAGAGGGCTGACGAGGGAATTGAAAACAGGTGCAGGCAGAACAGAAAAACAGAGCAAGGGAGGACACAAGAGGGCAGCAGAGGACAACAAATGGAAAACCAAGAAAAACAGGAACAAACAGACCAAGACTCTGACAGGAATTTCCCATTGGGAACCTGCTAGCACTAAGTTGCTAACTGGTTAGCAAGATGCTTCCCACAAACCGACTACAACCAAACTTGCTTGCGAACCTTCCGCCACAACAATCCCTCCCCCTTGATAATCGACCAATCACATTCACTTTATTCACTCGTGTAAAGTCGTGCACTCTGGAGAATTCGGGGAAAATGGTTGGAATGGCAGTTTCCCTGCGACTTTAAGTAGAAATGTTGGCTATCTATACTTAACTGTAGTAATTATTCTTTAGACAACTTTTTACTTTCTACTCCTTACATTAAAAAAAAAACTGTTAGATTTGTTTCATTTTGTCACAGTTTTGGTTCTGTTTAATGTTTGAGTTTTCAGTTTTACTTTGATCCATGTTTTTCTTTGTTTTCTAGTTTTATTGGTTTAATTCCTATTATGTGTCCTTTTCTGGATGTGTTTGAGTTCTTAGATATTTCTTGTTTGCCCTCTAGTGTCAGTCTCCTTTTCCTAGCTCTCTTCTAGGCTCCTCTGTTCACACCTGCTCCCAATCTGCTGATAAGCCTGGTCTTTGTTTCTCTCTGCCATATACAGGTCCTTCTCAAAATATTAGCATATTGTGATAAAGTTCGTTATTTTCCATAATGTAATGATAAAACTTGAACATTCATATATTTTAGATCCATAAAGCCAAACCGTGTCCTAGTAGGTCTGCAGTTGGTCCATTCTCTCTCCAATGTTCAGATTAAACAGAGCTCTGGGAGATGCTTAAAGATCTAGAACCCTGACCTCGGCTCTTATCCTGGGACTTCAGGACGCTGATGTCTAAACCATATTTAACTTCACTTCCTCTACAAAGTTATGTTTTTCTTTGTGTTGTTCTGTGACATATAATAGCAAAACATACAGTCCAATGTGTGCCGTAAGTTAGAATGCTTTGGCGAGGAACCATGAGGGGTTAAATCTGATGTTTCTTAGGACAGAAGCTCCGCTTCATTAGATGCTGATACTGGCTGTAGCAAACAGAAGCTAAAGAGGCGGACATTTGTCTTTCAGGTTCTGGTAAAGCAGAGACTGTTCGGGCGGTGGATGTCCTGACGGTGCTCAGAGAGAAAGTGGCCTTTGTATCGGGTAAAACAAATAAAAACAGCACTGGTTTGTTCTGGTTTGTTCTGCTGTAAGAAGTTAAAGTCAAAGTTCGGCGTGATTTCCAGGTGGACGAGACAAACGAGGCGGACCGATTCTGACCTTTCCGGCACGGACCAATCATGATCGAATAAAACAGGAAGATCTCAGCCGACTTGTAACCTACCTGTCAACCATACCCAGGTACAGCTCCTTAGTTTTTATTGTCCATCCATCCATCCATCCATCCATCCATCCATCTTATTCCTCTTATCCGGGGTCGGGTAGCTTCAGTAGGGAGGCCCAGACATCCTTCTCTACAGCCACTTGGTCCAGCTCCTCCGGGGGAATCCCAAGGTTTCCCAGGCCAGCAGAGAAACATAGTCCCTCCATGGTGTCCTGGATTCTCCCCCTGGGCCTCCTCTCGGTGGGACTTGCCTGGAACACCTCACCAGGGAGACGCCCAGGAGGCATCCTAATCAGATGCCCGAGCCACCTCAACTGGCTCCTCTCGATGTGGAGGAGCAGCAGCTCTACTCTGAGTCTTCCCAGGACGACTGAGCTCTTCCCCCTGTCTCTAAGGGAGAGCCCAGATGCACTACGGAGAAAACTCATTTCAGCCGCTTGTATCCAGGATCTCGTTCTTTTGGTCATGACCCAAAGCTCATGACCATAGATGAGGGTAGGAACGTAGATCCACCGGTAAATCCAGAGCTTTGCTTTTTGGCTCAGCTCTCTCTGAACCACAACAGACCGTTACAGCGCCTGCTTCACAGCAGATGCCGCACCAATTCGTCTGTCGATCTCCCGCTCCATCTTCCCCTCATTCATGAACAAGACCCCAAGATAGTTAAACTCCTCCACTAGGGGCAGTACATCCTCCCCAACCCACAGAGGGCACTCTACCCTTTTCTGGCTCAAGACCATGGCCTCGGATTTGGAGGACTTTGGAGAAATTTCAGACTCCAAAAAGATTTATTAAGAACTTACCTAAAGGGGGAATACTTCCTTTAAGCTTTACTACTGAAATGTCTCAATAGGTATTCATTTCATTTCTACAGATGTCTGTGTTGTAAAGGTGCTCTACCGTTTAGAGATCCATTTAAGGAGGAAAATGTGTAAGAGATTGCATTTGTTCTTCTTTGTCCGTGCATCAGTGAGGACGTGCGTGCGCGTGGCTTCACCGTGGTGGTGGACATGCGTGGCAGTAAGTGGGACAGCGTGAAGCCGGTGCTGAGGACTTTGCAGGAGTCGTTTTCCTCCAACATCCACACAGCGCTCCTCATCAAACCAGACACCTTCTGGCAGAAACACAAGACTAACCTGGGCAGCGCCAAGTTTAGCTTCGAGGTACGGCCAGCTGTTGGTTAATGTCTTCAATCACGAGTTTTTGTCTCAAAGTGAACTAGACATCCTTTGCTGGTTCTTGGAAGATGTTTCAACTCTCATCTAAAGTTGAGGACTTTAACCGAGAGACGAAACATCAGCAAGAACTACCGCCTCATAGTTAAGGTCATCATAGCTCTTAGAGATTCCTGTAAAGAAGCAGTAATTGTTCTCCTTCCCCAGACCAGCCTGGTGTCGGTGGAGGGTCTTTCTCGGCTCATCGACCCCTCCCAGCTGACGGCGGATCTTGGTGGCTCGTTGGAGTACGACCATGTTGAGTGGACGGAGCTTCGTCTGGGCCTGGAGGAGTTCTCAGGGGCTGCCACGCAACTGCTGGCTCAGCTGGAACAGCTGGAGGCCGGGTTGAGCCGCATACCAGAGCCTAAGGACGTAGACGAGGCCCGCAAGTAAATATTTTGGGACTTTTACATTTCAGAGTCAATCAGTGAAAAAATTGAGCAACAAATTCAAGGCTTTCTCTTCTTTAGACTTTTAGAGGAACACAATCGTCTCCGTAACACAATCGCCACGGCGCCAGTAGATGCCCTGGACAGGGAAGGGAAGAGTTTGCTCCAGCGAATGCGCCTAGGTCCTTCACACGGTGATGGATCCACCGAGGGCGGCGGCGGCGGCGGCACCTGGCTGTCAGGGGGGGCAGACTTCCAGAGCGTGGCCCCAAAGGTTTCCTCTCTGCTGGACCGGCTGCAGACCGGTCGTACCCACCTGCTCCAGATTTGGAGCGACAAAAAGCTACACTTAGACCAGGGTCTGCAGTTGCACCTGTTCGAGCAGGACGCCACTAAGGTGAGCGCCGTGACCTGCAAACCTCGAAGCAAACGTTTTGCATCCTCATGTTAAATGAAGCTTTGCTGCATGCTAATCCAGAGCGTCTGTCTAACGAGCCTCTATTGCTGCTGCTTCCGTGTCTCAGATGTCAGAGTGGATTGCCCACAGTAAAGAGCTGTTTCTGCAGAGCGTCACAGAGGTCGGGCAAAACCACCAGCACGCTCTTGACCTACAAACGCAACACCAGCACTTCACCGCCAACTGCATGGTCAGTCTGAGCCTCCCTATGGGTGTCCGTCCTCTTGACTGTCTTCTCTAACACACCGTGTCCCCTGGCGCAGAACGGCAGCGTAAACGTGGACAGCGTGGTCACCGTGGCGGCGAGGCTCGCTGAGGCGGGTCACTATGGCGCAGAGCGGATCGCTTTGGTGTCGTCACGGTTACAGGATGACTGGAAGTCCCTGACGACCACCCTGGAGGAGCGCAGCAACATGCTGGCCATGGCAACCGGTTTCCACCAAGGGGCGGAGCAGGTACCTTTACGCTCTGATGTGTTTATGGCCGGCTGGTCAAATAAAACGATCAACGAACTGCGAAACGGGAAAAAAGTGTTTGCAAAACTTCTGAAAGTGTCTCTCTGTGTCCAGTTTCTCCTCCGGGTGGAGGGGTGGGTTAAAATGTGTTCTGAGGGATCCCTACCGACGGCAACAGCGGAGCTGGAGGCGGCAACTAAAAAGCATCAGGAACTCAATGAGGAGATATCCGCCAACTACACGCAGGTATTTGATTGGAAATCCTCCCGCATGTATCAGTGTGAATGAATACGTCTGAGACGACTGACGGTTTCAGGTGAGTGAAAGTGGCAAAGCCTTAATGGACGTCCTACAACGCAACTCTACGAGCGAGTCCAATGAGTCGGCCATCAAACCGGACTTCACCCCCGCCACGCACACCATCATGGGAGTCCTGCACCAAGTGATGCAGGTGAGGCTCGCCGTAGTTCCACCGTCAGAGTGGATTTAATGCAGATTGACGGGAAAAGGGAATTTGTTCTGTCTGCTCAGGGTCACCATGAGGTGGAGGGAGCCTGGCAGCACAGGAAGCTCCGCCTCCACCAGCGCCTGCAGCTCTGCGTGTTTCAGCAAGATGTGAAACAGGTCTGACTCCACTTCTTTACGCCGCTTCTGGTTTGAAATAGCATCCCGGATTATTTCTCAATACGGATTATAATCCACGACATGAAGTCACATTTATATTTACGTTTTTTAAGTCCAGCTTATATTTTCCATTTTCAAATAAATGATTTAGGTCCAAATTAAGATTTCAAAATATGTTTTCCGTCCTTTAGACTTAAATAAACCTTTGGTTGATTAAGGAAAATTAAACTTTTATAATGTAGATGTAGATGTGAAATTTAAACTGAACATTTTCTAAAACAGAAAGTTACACACAAAATTACACACAAAATTACACATTTAAATTCTGGATTATATTTACTCTTTGTATCCATTTTTAATCTTATTTGAGTTAAAAAATATCTAAGAATCTGGATTTAAATTGGAAATAACAGATGTATGTAAACCCCACTATCAATCTGAATCTAAATCTATTTAGATATTTTAATCTAAATCTAATCTGAATCCGGATTTGACACCAAATTGAAATCAGGTTTGAATCCCAATTAAAAACCAGATCTGGATAATAGTTTAATTTGAATTTATATCCAGTTTAAATTGAATTTAAAATCAAATTCTTTTATCTGGAGTGGATTTTAAGACGCATTTCAATCTATACTCTTAATTAGATTAATGCAGATTAATAAGTGACATTATTCTAACCAAAGTCACCATTTAGATCTATGTTTTTTAGACGCTGAGTCAGGTTTTGTTTCTCTTGCAGGTGCTGGATTGGGTGGAGCAGCATGGGGAGGTTTTCCTCAACAAACACACCGGCGTGGGGAAGTCTCTCCACCGAGCGCGGGCGCTGCAGAAACGCCACGACGACTTCCAGCAGGTCGCTCAGGTTAGACACGGAACCGCATCTCATTTCCATAATCTAAACAGATTATCAGGCAGATCAGGCATTCAGACGCGCGTCTCTTTTAGAACACCTACACCAACGCTGAGAAGCTCCTGGAGGCTGCAGACCAGCTGGCCCAGTCTGGAGAGTGCGAGGAGGAGGAGATCTACCAGGCAGCCAGAGACCTGGAGCTCCGCATGCAGGTGAGCTGACAGATGGAGCCCAGCTGTGAGGTGAATTGCATGCTGGGAGTCGGAGCTGTTTACATCACTAACATGTGTTGTAGGCCTTCATCCAGCGGGTGGAGCAGAGGAAGCTGCTGCTGGACCTCGCCGTGTCCTTCTACACCCACACTAAGGAGGTAACACCTCACCGCTGCAAACAGTCTGATTTCCTCTCATCTCTACAATCTAAAAACCGTTTCTCTTCGTGCTCGCTGCTCCTCAGCTGTCCGTGTGGATGGAGGGCCTCCAGAAGCAGCTCTCCTCAGACCTCCTGGTGTGTCCGGACACCGTGGAGGCCCTGCAGGCTCTGATCAGCCAGCAGCAGCAGCAGCAGGCCAACACACAGGTGCAGCTCCCTGCCGTTTAACAGCCAGCCCACACCTCTGACCTAACCGCCTAACGCTCCCTGACCTCTGACCTCTAACCCCCACACTAACACCCAGCTCTAACCCTGACCCACAGGAAGCTGCGATGAGTGTCATCCGGGAAGGAGAGGACCTCATCCTGCAACTCAGGTACCCGCTGAGGCTGCGCTCGCCTCTTTGGTCTGTGTGTCAGAGGCCAGTGTAGATCTACTCTATATGGAACGTAGATCTGGGTGTGTGGATTCTAGATTATATTATTTTACACTGGGAAAATAGAAATCTAAATGAGTCAGTTTTCCTTAAAATATGTGCATTTTTTTTGGAATTGAGACGATAAGTCTCAATTCAAACAAGACCATTTTTTTTCTATTTTTTTATGTATTTTTTTATTTACTTATTTATTTTATTTATCTATTTTTTTTAGATTACAAATAATAAAAATAAACAAATAGAATAAAATTCAGAAATTTTTTTAAATAAAAACATAAAAAATATAAAATGAATAAATAAAAATAAAAATTAATAAATAAAAAAGGAGCAAGAAAATTTACATTTAAAATAAGAAAAAATAATTTCATTTCTTATTTCAGGTGCATATTGTCCAATTATCTTATTTTAAGAGTAAAAATTCTCCATTTCCAAATCATCTTATTTACCTTCTCAAATCAAAGTAAAATCAATTAATTTAAGAAATGTTGACGTATTTCTAGATGATTTTTGCAGTGTAGGGTTTATGGACGACATATGGTGGGCGGGGTTTTGTAGAGTGATGACGGACAGATTCTATGGTGTAAATTTCTGGCCACTCTAACTGGGTGAGGCTTTGCCGTCGCTCACTAACACCTTTTCTTCCCTGCATACATATCTGCTGTGACTAAGCTGTAAATTACATCCAAGGATGAACCAAACCTGCAGATGCGATAAATTCTCCGTCTGTCTTCTTGGCTGATTTATTCGACTTTTCCTTTTTTTTTAAAGAGTTGTGACATCAAGATTGTTTGAGGCGTCTCTT